TTCTCTTAAAGGGATAAAATTGCTTTAATGTGGTAAATAATCATTGCGGACTGGAATGCAGAATTTCTTGCTTCGCCTCGGTCGCTCTGGACGAAAAGGTTCTTTCCATCCATTTTTCACCGTTTGCAATGTAAATTCTTTGCAACTGATTTTAAATTGACCCAAATTTTAACAAACCATGGAAATTTTAAGAGATATTTATTTCGTTTCCATCTGCAGACCAGTGGAATTTGTGCTTGCGGTGATGCTGATGAAGATGCTGAACATATTCTTCTTCACTGTAGTCTCTATGCGAGTGCCCGAATGAATTTAAAGACTGATTTGAGACGTCTTTCAATTTGTTGGCCACCTGTCTTATCAGAACTGGTCAAAAGTATTGNAAAAAAATTCGTCTTGTAAAAAAAAAAAAAAAAAAAAAATGTGGTAAATTTTGACAATGATAGGTGAGCCTTTTGGCAATTGCACAATGTCAAATGGCACTGAATATAGTTAATATTTATATTGAATTTTTGAAAGAGGATTTTGCTTAGTATAATAACTTAAAGTCATCGAAAAGCTTTAAGAGTAATAAAAATTAAAGAAAAAATGAAATTATTAAAGCTTCATTAAATATGTCGGTATATGGTTTACGATTTAGTGCTTGATTAAGCAGTGTTGATTAATGCCGTTTATTTATTATTTACATTTTTTACTTCGTACGAAGAACAACCGTACAGCTATTTTTTTTTAATAAAATGGAGGTTTCCAAAAATACATACTTTTTTTAAAGAAGATTTTTTACCTTTTTTTTATGAATTTCCTAAGTTCCAAAAGTCTCTAAGTGTGGTAATTTGTAAAAATTTCTTTTATTATTCAACAGAAGAAACACTTTAGAGATTATTTTAAAACTAGTTTTTATTCAAATATTTAAATTTAATTTTAATTAATATTTCAGCATATGAGGATGGTACCGAATTCGAAGATGAATTCGATGGGGATGATATTGATTTGGATGAGATGGATTTGTAAGTAGTTATATCTCCAAAGCTTTATGCTTTTGTCGTAATTTTCTTTCTTTTTTATTCAATAAAAACGTACCCTTTTGAGTAGTAGAAAAATTTACACAGAAAGCAAAAACTCAATTAAAAACAACGAAACATTTAACCCTTCGCGGCCGTATTAAATTTATACATGGATGACATGCTGGTCGTAATTAATTTTCGTTGAACGAACAGTAATACATAATGTATAAGATTTTGAAGGAAAAATAAAATTTATTAATTCTTTTTTAAACTTTAGATGTATGTAACACAATATGTTTTAATTTTATGAAAAAAAACTACATTTTATAGTTCTCGTGTGCTATTTTTCAAAGCAGTCTCCAATATGAAGCTCAGGTTTTCGAGAACATGTGTCGCAAAAATAATCAGTTTTATTAAATTAGTTTCATAATTAGTATTCCGCCTTTTCTGTTTGAACATACAGAACAATCTTTACTCTTTACATCTTCACAGTGCCAGACATATGACTGAAACGGTTAAAAAGCGTTGGTGGCTGAGAGTAGACATACGACCACAAAGGGTAAAAACAGATGTCTGTCTGTTTACTTATTTTAGTCACAAAATACTACTGCTAGAGAAATTCGATTAAGATATGAAATAATGAACGGTCTATTTCAATAACGATCATCCAATAATAAAATAACAATCGAAAACATATTTAGATCAAAACTTCTTAAGATACGCCATTTTATTTTGTACACTAAAGAAACTCTGGAAGTTTCCCTCAAAGATCAAACAAATCATTAGAAATCCCACTTTTTTTTAAAATCTATAACCTTCTGGAAGATTTGAAAAAATATATTCTTTTTATAATATTAGTGATGCAGAATGCATGATAGAGTTAAGAGCTGAGGTGCAAACCTCTGATGATGATGAAGGTGATAGTGAAGACGAAATTCATGCTAATGAATTTGTTGATGATGTGGTTGAAAATGAGGAAGTTGGGGTTGAATTTAAGGATGATGATGGTAATGGAGTTGAGGAGTTGAATAGGTATGTTAATTAGAATGTTTCCTAATAGCAGTTAAATATTTTGGTTAAAATGATCTTCAGTGTTTGAGTTATTTTTCAACGTGTTTCGAATAGCACTTTCGTAACTATTTCAAAATAAAATTTTAACATAAAATTGTAAGTGACTACATATCGGTCTTTAAGTTTTATTAATCCCTATGAATCAAAGGTACATATGATTAAAAATGAATTTATTGGGCATGAACAGAATTAATTCATGCAGTTATTTAAAAGATTAAAATCTTTGCTTTGACGAAGAAAAAATTATTTTTTAAGGACAATAACTTTACAAGAGTTTGCTTAATAAAATGAAATAATTAAAAATGCAAATGCTGAAGGAATGACAATGTTACTCGTATAAACCCAATTTTCTGAAAAGGGTCAAATAATTCGTAAATAAAAAAAAATTTATTCGGTGATATAAGGTATAAACGGTCTGAACAATTTTATACAAGAAAAAACATTTATTTAGATAAAATAAAATATTAAAATAAATTGCAACTTAACATATTTCTTGAAGATTTTATTTCATTATTTTATACTTTTTAAGATATTTTCTTTATAACCATGAGTATTTTTTCTAAAGCCTATTAAAGAATTCCCGAAAAGAAACAATATAAAGTGAATAAAAAACGAAATCTCTGTTCCTTAAGTTTTAAATAAAAGACGAATGAGGCAAATGACTAAATAGAAAACATAATTTTTTAACTGAAAAATCTTTTTAAATACTAAGCCACGATTTTAGAATTTACTTATAAATGCTACTGTAATTATCACCCCTACAAAAATCTATAATGGCCATTTTCTTATTAAATAAATAATTAACACAAAATATAAAATAAATAATTACACATCGTAGCACTTTTAAAACATCTGTGATCGTTGATAAGTTAATAAATTCTCTCTCTTTACAAATATATCTCAAATTTAAAGAAAAATTTATTGAGCAAAATAACTTTATTGAATTTTAAGTTATATATTTTTTCCCCTTTTCTTTTCTTTTTTTTTTTTAATACTTTTAGTGAGGAATTGACTTACCCAACTTTCCTATTCAGTGATGTACAGATAGCCAAACTTTATAAGATGGATGTTGTACACGATAAGGACTCAATCGAATTTGGTATTGAGGACGATAGGTATTTTAACTTTTTTGAAACATTTTAAATATGAACACAAATTATATATATATATATATATATATATAAAAGGTGACAATCGAGAATGAAAAAGAAATTAAAAAGAAAACTAACATGAGCAAATCCATTTCGGTTAAATCCGTGGTTAAGAAATTTTATAACTAAAACTTAATCTTCTTCAAAATTCAATAAATATTTTTTAATAATTTCTCTACAAAATCATCGAGTTAAAATGTTGTATTTGAACTTCGACCTTTTATTTCTTCAAAACTTTGAATTAATTATACATTAGTAACACGCGCAAATCTAGTATTCTGTCCATTCCAAGGTAAGTGAGAAATTAAATGTGGTTTTATACTTCAGTACGAAGGCGACTTAAAAATATATCCGATTACGATATATTTATGCTTTAATTTCATATTTTGTAATCTGACAACTTTGTTAGGAAAACATATTTAAATCATTTTTGCAAGATGTTCATAAGATGACCGTCGACCGTTCTCATTTATCGCTTTACGTTCCTATTTCTGTTTTATTTTGCTTTTTTTCTTAATTTTGGGGAGAATTTTTGCTTGATGACGTTTTATTTTTAAAAAAGTTTTTCCTCTTTTTGGGGGGCTTCTCACATTATTGCATTGATATATTTTACTTCGGCAAGATTGATTAAAAAATTGACCGAAGAGTCATTTTGAATATTTTTAACTACTTTTAAGCAATTAGGATAAATTGATTGATGTAAAAGTTTTAAATCATTAAACTTTGCACAAAACATACTGTTGTCAATAAATCTGAAAAATAGAATCACCCTAATAAATCCATCACGAAATTGTTTCTCATTAATAAATACACAAGTGGGCGACCTTTGTGCTCTTTAACGTTGTTTGCCTTAGTTTCGTTTCACATTGTCGTAAATAATATAACGATTTTGATGATTGTAGAATAAAAATCCGAGTTTTCTGAAATCTGTGCAACTTCGAAACTTTCACTGATTTTAAATGCATTTTACTCTATACAAAAAGCTTATAATTTAAAATGAAGCTGCTTTAACAAAACAAAAAAAAACTGTATTTAGCTTTCTAATAATGTGAGTGTTACTTTAAATTTTAGATTGAAAAGTCGTGATGGTCCCTTCTTAAGAGACGAAATAGACTTCTGGCAACGAAGTGATATAGAGCTGACCATGAACGAACAATCTGAACAAAAACAGAAAGGATGCTTTCATTGCTTCTCTCAAATGTTCAGGAGATTGTTCAAGAGAAAGTAAACACGACTGGTCTTAAAGTAAATCACGAGTTGTCCTTAAGTAAATCACGACTTGGCTGCTAGTAAATGAAGACTTTGCTGTAACATCTAAAAAAAATTATATTACTGTTCCTTTTCAATGTCTGAAAACTGTTATTCAAGAAAATTTAATATGCAAATATTTAAACTGCTGTAATTCTTTAACATCGGTAAATTGATTATCAAATAAATTACAGTATTTGCAAGTCCAAAGTGTATTCTATTTACAAATAGAGTAAGACATACATTTAATTTACAATCCCTTACTAGTAAAAAGTGATAGTACATATTTCTTTCGACCAATAACCAATTAAATTTTAAAAAAGCAATGGACCTAAATTTGGATCCAAACAAAAATAGTTATGATATTAATATATAATATCAATAAATATTGTACTACAACTTTTACATCATTAAATCGAAATAATAAGTTTCAAGAAAGAGAAACCGTCCTTGAAACCTATTATTTCGAAACTTGGTCATATATCGATGCAATAACATACTAAACTACTACACCAAGTCGCATACTTACAGACGAACTATTAAAGGCTACAAAATGGAACATAATATGGTTCATCCAATGCAAACGCACTGCAAATGTAATTCCTTTTAAACGGTCAGATGACCACGGTCCTGTGATATGGCTGTATAATTCCTTGTAAACAGTCAGTCCTGTGATATGGTTGTGTAATTCCTTTTAAACAGTCAGATGACCACGGTCCTGTGATATGGCTGTGTAATTCCTTTTAAACAGTCAGGTGACTATGGTCCTGTGATATGGCTGTGTAATTCCTTTTAAACAGTCAGATGATCACGGTCCTGTGATATGGCTGTGTAATTCCTTTTAAACAGTCAGATGACCAGGGTCCAGTGATATGGCTGTGTAATTCCTTTTAAACAGTCACATGACCATGGTCCTGTGATATAACTGCGAATCCCACAAGTGTGAGTTCGAGACCAATGGCGGACTACATATGCGAATGTAAATGAAAGGGCTAATTATTCGAGAATTATTTTTTCTTTTTATGAAAGAATTAAAACCAATCTTAGAGATTGATAATTTTAATAAAATATTTTTTAAATTATCGCTTTAAATATATATAGCTAAAATGTAATAAAAATAGCTCCGCGACACTTATGAAAAATTTCTAAAGATTTCTTGTGTGCTCTGTCTATATTATAACGGCCTGTATGTACTTCGCATTATGGTGGAATTGATGTTTTCTCTGTCTGGGAGTACTGCAGCGGTTGAAAGGGACTTTTCAGCAATGAACATAAAAAAAAAACACATTACGTACTGGTCTTAAACAATAAGCGTCAACCGCAATTATGAACATCTACCTAAATGGAAAACCTCTTTCAGATTTCTGTGCAGAAACCTCTGTAAATCATTGGCTTGATTGTGGAACTGGCAAACGTCATATTTGATTCATTTAAAAAACGCAGTACCNAAATAGACTTCTGGCAACGAAGTGATATTGAGCTGACCATGAACGAACAATCTGAAGAAAAACAGAAAGGATGCTTTCATTGCTTCTCTCAAATGTTCAGGAGATTGTTCAGGAGAAAATAAACACCACTGGTCTGAAAGTAAATCAAGACTCTCTTAAAGTAAATCACGAGTCGTCCAAAAGTAAATCACGACTTGGATGAAAGTAAATGAAGACTTTGTAACATCTAAAAAAATTATATTACTGTTCCTTTTCAATGTCTGAAAACTGTCATTCAAGAAAATTTTATATGCAAATATTTAAACTGCTGTAATTCTTCAACATCGGTAAATTGATTATCAAATAAATTACAGTATTTGCAAGTCCAAAGTGTATTCTATTTACAAATAGAGTAAGACATACATGTAATTTACAATCCCTTACTAGTAAAAAGTGATAGTACATATTTCTTTCGACCAATAACCAATTAAATTTTAAAAAGGCAATGGAAATAAATTTGGATCCATACAAAAATAATTATGATATTAATATATAATATCAATAAATATTGTACTACAACTTTTAAATCATTAAATCGAAATAATAGGTTTCAAGGAAGAGAAACCGTCCTTGAAACCTATTATTTCGAAACTTGGTCATATATCGATGCAATAACATACTGAACTACTACAACAAGCCGCATACTTACAGATGAACTAAAGACTACAAAATGGAACATAATATGGTTCATCCAATGCAAACGCACTGCAAATGTAATTCCCTTTAAATAATCAGATGACCATGGTCCTGTGATATAACTGCCAATCCCACAAGTGTGAGTTCGAGACCAATGGCGGACTACAAATGCGAATGTAAATGAAAGGGCTAATTATTCGCGAATTATTTTTTCTTTTTATTAAAGAACTAAAACCAATTTTAAAGATTGATAATTTTAATATAATATTTCTTAAATTATCGATTTAAATATTCCACTTCATAAAAATAGCTACGGGACACTTATAAAAAATTTCTAAAGATTTCTTGTGTACTTCGCTTTTATATAAAACTATAATTTTCAAAATTTGCCCAAAAATTCAAAAATTGCTTAGTCTGGGCTCAAGGCAAAATTGCAATGTCAAACTCTTTTTGTATTCTCTTTCTTTACAGAAATACCTAAATTCTGCTTTTATTTTCAACTATAGTTATAAAACCAAAATCTACTTATAGTTTAATGTACTTGTAATTCAGGCCAAACCACAAAACTGTTGACAAATTAGGGGAATATGTTTACAATTTCCCCTATAGTTTTGAATTAATACAGAGGCCATTAAGCATCAGTTCCGAGGGTTCGGGAAGCGAACGTCGGACATGTTCAGTATTTAAAAATTAAATTTAGAAAAAATAATTGTCTAATTCGTTTGCAATATTGTAACGAAATAAAAATAGCGTATAATAGCGTTAAAAAGCTGATGTTGCTCAGTTATTGTATATATTCAGATAAAAAGTTAATACATTTGAAAAGAGTTAAATAAAATAAGTGTCAACAATTTAAATTAAATGACCCAAGTTTGTGATTAAAATAGTAATTTTAACGACCTGATTTAATGAAAAAATCTCATTTTTTCTGACTTAACAATTTTCAGGATTCTTTTTTAAACATCATAAGGAACTATCATAAAACAGCAATCATTCATAAGGAACTATATATTTTCTTGAACGTATAAAGACAACAAAATATATATAGCAGAGTCAAGGTAAACACTGTTTTTAGTTTATTTAAGTTAGTCATGGCAAATACTGTTTTTAAACAAATGACTAAAAAATTTAATACGAAAATTTTAAAAATGAAATTTTACGAATTTACTGGAACAATTCAAAAAAATTTGCCAATATTTTCTCTGTGTTCATAAATGCTTCACAAGAATGGATGGTGTTTTCAGTAGAAATGTAAATAATAACAATCTCGAGCTGTATGTTTGCTCTAGTTCCGGTTAGAAAGTTTGCAGCTGCTTACTACATGTTATTCTGCGAGGCGATATTTTCAAACGGATAATTTTGTTTTCAATAAAAGAAATAAATTAGATAATTTCTGAGCTCAAATCTGCCGTATTTCATAAGATATTAATGTTATTTAATATTACTTTTAACAAAGCCTATTTTTAATTTCAATGAGTAATTATTACCAAAATTAGCTTAGATTCAATGGTGTCAATAATAATATGGTAACATTTTACGTTTCTCTTTAACCAATTAGTACCATTTCTCCATAAATTTTCTTTTTTTGAACATAATTTTTTTTTTAATTTCTATTTGTGCATATTACCTAAATTAATTGAGCCTCATTGAAGTAAATAAAAGTATGGCAATTTTCTCGGTTCCCCTAAACAAATAAGTACCTTTAAATAAATACCTTAAAAAAACATAGCCAAAAACAAAGCCAGTAATCAAGATAAAATTTGAAAATAATTTGGCGAAAGCTAATCGCCAAAAAGACAAGGTGAATTAGTATAACCCTGTAACTGAAACATTTTTGTGGTAAGAGAAATAAAAAATATAGAATTACAAATAGATTTTGTTTTCGATTTAGTCGCGACAGTGAATTAATGAGTTTTACATTTGTACTGAAATAAAAATTTAGCCGTTACATAGGAAAAGTATAAAAGATTTGTATTAGCTTTTTGTAAATTGTAATAAAAAATAAATAATTGGTTTAATTTTATTAAAATTATATTAAGAATGATTAAAAAAAAATAAACATAAGAAATTAAAGAAAGTTTAAAAGCTAGGAAATATGTAATGCCTATTATAGCATCACAGGGAAGAACCTAGAATAATTAGAACTACGAGCGGTAAGGAAAATGTTATAGCTGTAAGGAAACTAATTATTCTCTACTACTACAGGGTCCTAATTTAAGTTTTAAACATTTAATGTTTTAAAAATTAGGAAAAAAACTGTCAATGAAATATTTAAAAGATTTACTTAAAGTTTTAGAGGCAGATAAGGAACACGATTTTTTTTCCCATCAATACAATCTATATCAATTTTATTCTACCGTTTATAATTGCTTAAAATTATCAAGAAAAATTTGCACAAAAACTTCATGAAAATGTGAGAATCAAAGTCAACCCTCATCTATCAAAAGGTACCTCAAGATAGAATCAATATTAGAGTTGATGATTGAGGAGATTGATGATACTGATTGGAGGATTCGAATCACTGAGTTGATTTGGTGATTCTAATCACAAACTTGCACCCGTTTCGAATCAGTAATCAGTTGATTCGAATAAGTATCGAAATAGATTTAATGTATAATTGCTTCTTAAATTTCAGTTAGTTTTGTTTCTCGGTGATGCTAATTCAAATCATATGATTAGGATACTTTTCCAATCAAGTGATTTATATCAGAGATTCAAATCAAATAATTCAGATCTATGATTCGAATCATTACATTTCAATCAATGATTCGAACTGAGTTTTTCAAATCAAATAATTCGAATAACTGATTATGAAGTGATTCACATCACTGATTCAAATCACGTGATTCGGATCACTATTCGAATTAATTGATTCAAATCTCCCACAATTACTTAAGCTAAAACGATTCCATTTTTTTATTACTATTAGTTGTCTTTCCCAGAGGATTTATGTTATCAGAGTTAGCAAAACATGTTTTTAGAAGTTCATTCCTTCTGACTTAATTTAATTAAATTCAGTATCATATGACATAAGGCTATGGCTCGATATCTACTCCTGATAATTAAAAATCAACAAATTTCCTCAATACATATCCTCTTCGGCGAGCAGTGAAAGTCTTATTCCAAATGTAACCAATAATAGTATATTTTGTATTTATTAAAAAACACAAATTAACATAATAGTAATAATACCCATTGCTAAAATTAGTTTAGCATTATAAACGTCAATAATAACAGGGCAATTTTTCATGGTTTTTCTAGATCAGTACCTTTTCTTTATTAATTTAACTTCTTGGAACTTAACTTATTTTTTAACTTATTATCAAAATTTATCAAGTGTAATTCTCGAAATAAATTAGTAACGATATTAATATTTTTATAATCGTTTTTGGCAAACGAACTAATATCGGTACTTATTTCGGAGGCTGTAAAAATTGTCTAAGTATTATTGACGAAATTTATGATCAACAATTAAATGTGGTAAAAAAGGGTCCCCTGCAGACAGAAGAGAGATTTTACTTCCTCCGTGTTAACCTGGGGAGAATTATACGTCCGGAATTTCCTTATTAATTCAGCAACCATTTTTTTACCATTCCCGTGCAGTTTCATACTATTAGATTAATTATAATCTGAGAACTAAAAATTATGTCTAATTTGAAATGGGATATTCAAAATTCGTCATAATTTTTTCATGGCTCATTTGAATATTTATAATTTTATTTTATGAGTTCTTATTGACTTTCCACTTATTAAGTTTATAGACACAAGCTTTAAAATCCAAAGAAACAAAACAAGAAACACATGATTTCATATATCTATTAAATACGATAATAGTGCAGTACCGGTACATTTATTTATGTCACACTAGAGCTGCGCAATGTGCTATTGGCGACGATCTGGAAAAT